AACAGCCCCGACTTCCTCAGCCTGTCTTCACAAGGGAGACGTTCCAGTCCTCTTAGCAACTGCATGGCCACCTCTGGACTTGCTCCAACAGTTCCATGTCCTTCTTACACTGAGGGCACCAGAACTGCACACAGTGTTCCAGGTGGGATGTCATGCGTACCACACCATGTGCCTGAGAGCATTCTCCAAATGCTTCTTGAATTCTGCCACACTTGGTGCTGTGACATTTCAGAAGTGGGATATACAGAAATCATTAACCTTTAATCCACTGTTCCAGTTCTCTAGTGACATCCCTGGGTGTTTTAAAGAGGAGTGGGGTATCTGTAACTTTTCAACTACATGTCTTTGCAAAACCATTTTAAATACCAACCATTAATCATGCTAAAATGAAAAAATAGACAGTAATTGTATAAACACTTAGCATTAATCTCAGTACACACTGAGGAAGGCAATAAGGAACTACAGATATTATACTTGGCTGTCAGAGATTATTAGGAAGAGTTTGAAGTGTTTGGCTTTCAGTTCAAAGAGTTCCTTTAGGGTAAAAGGAGAAATCCATGTAATTCCTTCTCAGAGGAAAGTTAAATTGCTTTCTAGCTGATATTGAGCTATTAGTAATAGATGGAAGACAAACAATGAAAAGACAGTCATTGAGACAGTTCTGAAGACAACAGTGATAAATTTTAAACTCCACAGATTATAGCAAGCACGCACACTGCCTGCATGCTTACTGATTTGAAAGGGCAGGAGTCTCTGAGATCAGAATGTGAGCAAGCCCACTTTTAGTTGGTTCAGGACTGTGAATTGCAAGGAATTACTATAGTTCAATAAAATGCTTTTCCCAAAAATCTCTTCAGAACCCAAATGCCCTTGCTCTTTGACACTGCCTTCATATACATTCTCTTTCACTGGCTGTGTGTGCCCAGTGCTGCCATTAGTTCAAGTGGACATTAATTCCTAAAATTTGATCCAGAAATCAGTAAATTTATAGGAAACAGAGTTAATGTTTTACTTGCAGATTTACAGAGGTGTGGAAGGTTGAAATAAGAAAACAGCATCAGGTTCTTTAATGCAGCAATCATCCAAAAATCTTACTTTTCCATGTACTAACAATATGCTATGAAGTCAGTAAAAAGAATCACATATTAAGTATTAGTATCATTATATGAAAATACATCTTTATGAACTTATTATTTTAATAATCTGCTGCAAAAAGCATCTGGAGACTCTCTCTTTTCTACCTTTTTTTTTGTGTATGATATATGGCACAGTTTCTCAGTGTGGCCCTGAAGCTTCAAAACCCTAACCTTCCATTCAATCCCCCTAAAATAGAGATTTGATCCAGCACACCTTATATACCTTTGGTACATTTTCCTTTACAGGGAAACTTGGAAGTGACTGTAGCCACTGCAAAACTCTGGCCAAATAAAAGAATAAATAGCCTTACATAACTTTAAAAATAGAAAACCAATCAAATAAAACTTACCTCATTATTCTTTCCAGAAAGCAGTGTTTTCCTCCAGATCCAGTAACGAGTTTTCATTTCCTCCAGTTCCACAACAGTCTCATGTCCTGGAGGGGCAATCACCAATTTGCTTCCATTTAGTGTTCATGTTGCTACTGCGGGCAGTAAATTTAAAACAAAATGTGAAGTATTGCGTTTCCAAGCTTGGTCATACTTTCCTTTGCACTCCACTGAGGAACTCCCACACTGTAACATTTCACACATAAAAATCTCTAGTTAATTGCCAGCTGCTCAGAGTGGAGAAGAACTTCTAGCACTGCCAACTTTCACATCCTGTATCTCTTAAATATATATTAAGAGCAGAATTCTGGGTTTTGGTCATTCAGGATCCTATGACTGGTCTTTAAACTAAATAGAAATGAGAGGGAGGGAGAGAAAGACACACAGACAGGCCAGTTGTAAAAGCCCTGACCATGTGGTGAATTGATTTTGTATCTTACTAGATACCTGTGTATTCATGTCAGAGAAGAATCTTGGTTGAGGAATTCATCCTGCAGGGTTCAGTAAAATGTGAGCTATGACTAAAGCACTTCTAGTGGGTAGATTATGTAGAACAACTTCTCCCTCTTTGGATTCTCTAATGTCCAACAAGACCTGAACTCATGCTATAGCTTTTTCTGAAAGAATAGTTTTAATAACATACCTTTCTCTAATTACACCCTTTCTTGCACAAGCTTAATCAAAAACCCATTTCTTAATGTCTCTTCCTCTCTGTCAAATTTGTCTGAAATTAGTAAATTGGAACACAGTTATACAGAGGGTGAGTGTGTAAGCCTGACTTCCTTGGGAAACTACTGAAAAACTAAACAGAAGTGTCCCTCTGGTGGTTTCCCAAAACATGCAGCTCAAAAAGCAGTTTCCTTGTGTGGACTGGTTGTGCTGCACTCTTCTGTGCCAACTACATGCTGTACGAAGCTTGAATAGAAATGATAATTCACATGGTTAAATCTGAGGTCCAAAACCTATTGCATTGTTTGTGTGTGTGTATTCATTTACTGTCTGAAACCCTGTATATGGTTCTGGTCTCACAATGCAGAAATGGATGATGGAACATTGTTCAGATTTCCGAGGCAAAAAACCCAAGCCAGCTTAAAGGTGAAAAGAAGCATGGAAAGCTGCAGCTTCATTAAGTGAGTGCTTTAGAGTAAGAAAGACTGGAAGCTATTACTTAAACTATATTGAAATATTTGACAAAAATGGCCACATTTAAGTTGCAATTGCTATGTACAAACTATTTCCAGTTAGGGAAAACATATTATACCCTTACTAAAGATATAGTTAGACACCATTATTCCACACAAATAATCTGTTATACTTATTTTCACTCATTTTATAGTACATCCAACACCCATGAATTATCAGTCTGTATTGCAGTCAGTGGCATGTTGTAACTGATGTCCTTATTTGATTAATTAGATATTAAGCATCAAAGACCTATCTGCTGGGTAAGTTTTTAGCCAAGAACTGTTCAGGGAGCACAGGAGAGCCATGGAGCTTGGCATGCCATTTCCTCTCTTTGATGCAACTGCAACATGCCTAGTTGCTAAGAAAAATTAAACCTGTGAAGTGTTTACTGTGGCTTTAACTGCCATTCTAATGCAAATTAGCATTGAGATAAAAAGAAGCGAGCCCTGAGTAGTGAGAACTCAGACAGTTTCAAAGAGCATTTATTATGTCCCTACGAGGACCACATGCAACATGATTTAGATGGCTCTTTCCTTTAATGTTTTCACTTGACTGAAGGGAAGTCTGAATTACAGGGTTATGGTCCTAAATATTAACTGAAAACACAGTAGCCTATGAATATTTAGGTATTTCCAAAATCAAAATGTAATAACAGACCAGGATATAGCAAGCAACACAGTTGGAACTGTAGCTGCACTGTGTTACACATTGTTTGATTTGACCCTTTAAAAAGTGAATCTGTGGTTGAGGCTCTAAATATCTTAAATAGGTAACAAAACACCTCCAAAATGTTTGTATGATGGTGAGACACCTTGCAGAATCAGAGAATCACAGAGTTATCAAGAGATCTTTAAGATCATCTACCATCAACCTAATACCACCATAATCACCCCTAAACCACATCCCCAAGGGCCACATCCAGACACCTCTCGAACGCTTCAGGGACAGTGACTGCACCACCTCCCTGAGCAACTTATTCTAATGCCTGACCACTCTTTCAGGGAAAGGTTTTTTTGCCTAGTATCTAATCTGAACCTCCCCTGGTGAATCTTAAGGGGATTCCCTCCTGTCCTTTAGATATCAGGGGGTTAGAGAAACAGGG